ACTGCCCCCGCCTGGGTGAGGCGGGAGGGAGTGTCAGATTCTTACTGACTAAAAACCATCCCGTTCCTACTCCTGCACTTTGAGCCGGACCCCGGCAACCGTTTAAGTTTTTCGCGGCTAGAAATACTGAGTAGGCTCTGACTTTGACGGTTGGTGGAAAAAATCTATATGGCTTTTAACTCAAAATTTACTGGAAGTGTGTCTGATAAATAGAATCGCTACGTGGCATTTATAATTCAATTAAGGAAACATAAAAAGCTTCATCATAATAGTGCAGCCATTTCGGAGATCAGTGACATAGGTAAGTATACAAAAAGAAAAAAATCTAAATAAAAAATATCTTCACTGGTTATATTACGCAGACGTCATTGTATTTTCGTTACTAGTTTATTTTTTAGGCCAATTAGGTTCTATTTTCGGGTCTAGGTATCATCGAATTATTCTAGAAATTTCTCCATACGGATATGTTGGATTTGCACAAATTGTAGTAATTTGTGAATAATAAGAGATAATTGGTTCGGTTTAAACGAGGTCGGTAAACACCGACGTTGATGTGAAGCAATCAGTTACAATTTATATGTAATTCTGTTTATTGAAACGTGAGAACTTGTATCCGGTAGTTTTCAGCCATTTTATTTGAGTACACATGTACTTATTACGTTTATAATAGTGTTCTGCTGATTTGTTTGTCTAGACTTTTCTTGTTCAGGTAAGGGTAAGTTAATAAGTAATATTTACTAGGTAATAGTAAGTAAGTCTAGGAATGAGCAAAGCAGAAGGAATTAGCACTATCTGCAAGGTTTAGAGAAAACTATGAAGTTCGATTTATTTTCAGAGTCAATTAAAAAAACATCAATAATACTAGAGTCATTCGTATCAAGATTTTACTAAAGCAATGATGTGTTCTGTTAATAAAAAAACTTCTTATTTTTGGGATTAGTGCAGCGTATCGTCTTCCAATCAATAATTGTTTTTAATTTCCGTTTTACAACCCTACGACTCTGAATACCTTTACATGTCTAATATAAAAAGTAATCTGTGGAGAACGTAGTGGGTAACATATTTGCCAAGTATAATGTGTAAGCTGAATTATGTATATTTTGTAATATGTTACTGTTTGTTTTTCCTTAAATAAATAAATAAATACATTCATTAAATTGTTGTTTAATTTGCGTTAAGAACCTCAAATTAGCCGAAAAACAATCCGCTGTTTACTTAAGATCTCGCAACAGACGTCAAGTGTAGAAATACTAAATCATTGCCGTGTAAACAATTTTACTTGAACAAATAATTCAATATTAATTTATGGCGCTTGTATGACTGATGGTGCCTATGTGTTCTATGCGTGACTGTGACTATGCTTAGGATAAGATGGATGTGAAATGTTTGTAAACATACCACAAAGACTATTTTTTTTAAGGGGGAAAATCATCGAATGACTGCTCCCGCCTGGGTGAGGCGGGAGGGAGTGTCAGACTCTTATTGACTAAAAACCACCCCGTTCCTTCTCCTGCACGTCGAGCCGGACCACGGAGGTTACCCGTTAGGTTCTCCGCAACATACCACAAAGACTAGGCTACTTTAGCCTGGCAGAAAGCAAGAAAAATCTTTATTTTACATGTTAAAACAGGTTACACATACAGATTATACACTTACAATTTATAAATAGTAATGGGTACATATTCATGTTCCAAGTCTGCGGTGTAAATACCACTTTTTTGTGCTTTCATCCTTACTTTGCTGTTATTAAAAAGTCATAATTTTCACTAAATATCTGCCAATTTCATCTCTGTCGTATCTATCGGTCGACTAGGGGAGATATATCTAAGGCATTAAGTCCGCGTATACAGAGTTATTTTACTAAGTTTATATTAATAAATAGATAGAAGTGTGTGAGAGCCATGCTTCGGCACGAATGGGCCGGCTCGACCGGAGTGATACCACGGCCTCACAGAAAACTGACGTGAAACAACACTTGCGTTGTGTTTCGTCGTATGAATGAGGTTACCGGAGGCCTAATCACCAACCCCCCTCTCTTTCCCAATCTTCCCAATCTTCCCAATCCTTAAATCCTCAAATTCCTTATTCCCAAAAGACTGGTAATGCACTTGTAACGCCTCTGGCGTTCCAGGTATTCATGGGCGACGACGATTGCTTACCATCAGGTCATCCGTCTGGTTGTTTTATCCCATTACCAGTTTATCCCATATAAAAAAGCAAAAAAGAAGGGCATAAGTTTCTCCAGGCAGCGTGATTTTCCATCGAAAACGAAAATTTAATAATACTTTACCCAGCTCAGTGGTTGAAACAAAGATTGCAACTTATTATAATAGACAACGATGTTATTGTAATAAAAATAGGCTACATCTGCAAAAGGAAACTTAAAAATATATATTATGTTGTTGACAATAATTTAGCAGCTAAAAATAGAATTATAAAGCAATTCCAATAATATACTGGCCATATTTGTAACACGAACGTAATCTGCATTTACGAAAAACAAAGTATTCCGTTAAAATACTAAGAATTTTCATCAGTTCCGCGAACTTATTTTCTTTTACAGTTATAATATACAGGTTGTTGTGAAACCCAATGCGGTTTATTTTAATAAGATGGCTTAAAATAACGTAACTTGCTCTTCCCGTGCGTCGTCGTAAGAGACTATTTTTTTGAGGTTTCGGTTCCCGGGTCGGGCAAAATACTACTGGGGTTTAAGAAAAAATCTTAGTGGTAGCACGGAGTCTAGAATCGTGCCCGGTATATGGCAATAGGCTCACCCCCTATTACATGGGACTCATAACATAAATAGTGAAAAGTCACATTGTACAGTGGCATTAAGTGCCATAATGTGCGCCTCTACCTACCCTATCGGCGATAAAAGGCGTGATGTTATGTTATTGTATATGAAAATCACCCAATAACTTCCCGGCTGGGTGAGGCGAGAGGGAGTGTCAGAGTCTTACTGACTAAAAACCACCCCGTTCCTGTTCTTGCACTTCGAACCGAAGCCCCGGTAACCCGTTAAAGGGAAGGACTATACATTTGAGACCAGGCAGCAGCACTGTTTGATATAAAATTGAACCTTAACGCAATCCCCAACCCACCTACCAGTCCTTCTTATGTAAAGAAAGCCTATAGTCCAGTATTGGACCGCCACGGACTATGCTACGTGAATAGTCCGTGGAATAGTTATTAAAAGACCTATAAACTATGCTGAAATAATTTAAGTAGTGTTCTGTTGTTCGTGTACCTACGTGCAAAAATGGGTTGTTGACATCTATTACTAATTAAGTAATTGTGCAAGTATCTGTATCGCTGTTTAAAGTGGGTTAACCGTACAGCGCGGTTGTTGGTGCTCGCAATTTTATTTTGTCACCTTAATAGTAATTTTTATGTTGACTAGGCTATCATCATCAACCAGAATATGGTCATTACTGAACAAAGGCGGAAAACTCTAATCTTAAGGGCAAGGCAGCTATAGAAGCATAAGAATGTTCCCTTAATTTAACGGCATGCTGTTCTTTGTCTCTCGGTGTGGATATTGGATATACTCGGAAGTAAGAACTTAAGTTTCAATACACAATGTTTAAAAAAATATATTTTATTTATGTCAAAACATAATGTACTTTTCAATAATCAAAGCAAATTTTTTATCAGGCTGTCAAAATAGTCCTATGATACTTACATAGGCAAAAAAGCCAAAGGGCCCTAAGTCTTGCTGTTGCACTAGTTGAATATCTAAACAGCCCTTTATCTTATCAATACAAATTGTGTACTTCAGGTAACTACAGTTTTTTCTGCATTCATACATAGGAATGGTCGACAACTAGTCGTAGTTTAATAAACAATGAAGACTAAAGAAGTGTATGCAATTTTCGCCGTTCTATTATATTTTCATGTTCTGGGAGTAGAGGGTGACTTTCAGGGTGAGTTTCGAAATCATTACAACATCTTTTGCTGTATATTTAAATAATCAAAAAAATACTGACAAACTACATTTAGTTCTAGTTATACTACATCATGTAAGGTATGTACCGCATTCATACTGATTTTTACAGAAACAAACGAATCCAGCGATCCACATTATGAATACATACAAATATTCAGAAGCATACCAGTTCTCTTTGAATATTTACTAAACGTAATAGAAGTAAGGCCAGAAATATTGGAGAATAACGACGTCACAATGTTTAAGAGAAACCTTGATGGTGAGTATGATAAGGAAATGGAATCTTGTGATGAAAATGATAGAAGCAAACGTGAAAATTATGAAAAGGAAGACAATGTAAAGAAAAGAGACACTGGTGGTTCTAAAGAAACCAGAACGACTGTAGCTTACGAATATGGTAACAGCAATGTTGTCATGAAAGGCTTGGATGAATTCGAGGAAAGTAAAGTAATTGTCAAAAGATTTTCTAATAATGGTAATCTGGATGAGAATGCAGTAGACGGTATTTTTAAAAGAAAAGCTATATTTAAATTAGATGACGATACAAGAGATATGTTCCATAAATATGGTAAAGTGTTTCTTGGATTTGAACACATGTTTGGTTTAGATTTGAATCCTGAGGACATTGAAGATTGTGCAATTACAACTGAAAATCTTTTGGAAGAATACAATAGTAAGAAAGGAGATAAAGACAAATAAAAGGTCAATTTAGTACGCGATTTATTGTTCAAATTAAATAAAATGTGGGACAATAAAACACCCTTGAGTATGTTCTATTCTTCTTTTCCCTGAAATTTCCAGTTTAAAGCTGAACAACTACTACCAGGTAAGTAGTGATACTTCCAAGAATCTGAAAAATAAGCAAATAATCAATTTAAAAATTATTTCTTTGTTGGTCCCAAGTGAGAACCCTGAGCAAGTTTATTTTTTTATGGGGTGAGCCGGTAAACGTGCACATGGATCACCTGATGTTAAGAAATCGGTGCCCATAGACATCAGAAACACCAAAGGCGTTACAAGTATGTTACCGACCTTTCGGGAATTGGGAAAGCCCTGTGGTCCCGTGAATGGTAAAGTTAAATAAAAATTCACTAAGAATGGTACCGTAACAATAAGAGTCCTGTCCAACGGGAACATCTTCAATGGTGCATACGACACTTCATTCAAACTCAGATGCTGGTAGAATATCTGCAGCTCAGACAGCAAACCATTATTGTCAGTAGTCGTGTGACGCAGCATCTGACTGATCAGGTGGCGGGTTCGTCTCATCTTGAAGATTTTAATAACATAAATAATAATTATAATAGAGTTATAGGAAATCGGGTAGTACATTTTTACAATGTAGGTACTAGGAGACCAAAAATAAAGGAGGTTAATGTTTTTACTTAATAGCAATACCTCTAAACAAACTGACCTCTTCATGGGTGCGATGGCAGGGCTCAACGATTAACAACAAATTGATAAAGTGCAATACAACCCAGTTCAGTTGCAAAGTTGGGCTTGACCTGTCTGATCTTGATTTGTTGACTGCAATGAGATAAGATTTATATGGCGCACATTTTGTCATTTTAGTCCTGCTATAGCATTTTAATCGGCATTAAAGAACTACGAGCAGGTATAACACTAGTCTAAATTAAAAAACAAACTCTTCATTGCATTCTTGAAAAAATCAGTGGACCTATTTATTGCATAAATATTTTCTAACTTACAATCAAGACACTCCCAATTTAGGTAATACATTTTAGCAAACGCTGGTCTGAAAACTAAGAACTAATAGTGATAGCAAAATTTTAAAACAGTATAAAGATATTAAACCAACAGATATTAGTGATGACATGGTACGGCGTGATGACCAGATGCAGGAGCAGGCACAGCAACATGGCAACGAGAACTGTTCCATAGCTATCGTTAACGTGCCGCACCACGTCGCAGAGGGAACAATATAGTAAGCCTAGGCGACGTATCATTATTGGTAGAGGATGGAGTGCTGGTCTTGGTTGAGCTGTAACATAAGGATTATTACACAGATTAAGACATAACGTTATGGATTTAGGCATTGGAGTAATATAGTTGAAATATGTTTGCGTTAGGGTGCTTACTCTTGAAACCAATCACATTGCAATGCAATTACAATCCAATGAAAACTCAATAATTATTCAATGTCAAAACTATACAACCTCTATTGTAGTTGTTAAAATAGCATTCAGGGCACGGAATATAAAAACAAATTGATTACCTTTCAGTAAATACCCAAGCAATACGGATGCAATGGGCGCTAGTGTTGAAACTCAAAAGTAGGAAATTTCACAATATCAATGTCGATCCATCGGTTTTGGATTCGAGGGTAAGCCCACAAAACTGTTGTCCTAATTTGAAGGTTATTATTTCATACCTCTGTACGTCGCCATAGTGTCAACGACACTGTTAATGGATTTACTGGAGATTGTGTTATAAATGTCGATTCTGCAGTCCTGGTTCAATACCGAGTTCCTTGCTTCAGGTGCTGTATAACAATAACATTTATGTTTATTATGAGTTTATTGCTAAAGATTGAGTTCGAGTTTCATCGATCAAAAGACAAAAGGCATGTTTTTTTTTAGTAGCAGTCGTACCTCAATGATGTACCAGAGCATTGCTAAAGTTTTTAATAGAAATGAGTAAGTTTTGACTTATTCACTTGAAGTAGCATAAACTTACAGTCGTGCACAATTTGTTCAAGAAGGTTCTTCAAGCAGTTGTTGAGAGAGAGTAGCGAGGTGCACACAGCGGTGGCGGTCTCAGAGAACGTGAGCAGTATCACTTGCTGCACTGCTGTCGATATGTTGTAGAAGATGTACATGCATGATGTGAACACTGGAAAAATAATTAAGTAGCATTTTCAGTACCGCATTCAGTACTACTTAATTGTAACACCACATCAACAGTCTATAAGTGCCCACTGCTGACCAAAGGCCTCTTCTAAAAAGGAGAAGGATGGAAACCACGCTTGCTCAGTGGGGGTTGGTTTTAAAACTTATAATTAGAAATTGTAAGCCAATGTTTCCTAACGATGTTTTCCTTCACCGTTTCTCAGTGGTATCTAAATAACCTCAGAAACTACATTTGACTCGGAAAAAATTAACATTGGTACTTGCTAATGGTAGGTTTCGAACATGCACGCTCACTCGTGCATGAGAAACGGGCGTTTTTTACCTCCGAGCCACTTTATTATAAAGTATTGAACTTTTCCTTTTCTATCCTAAAATACTTAAGAAATTATGTAGAGAGCAAAAAAACCTGTCCTGTTTGGTATATTAATATCGCCTAATAATAGGTAGGTGGACCGACGACATCGCCAGAGTGGCGTAGAGCTAGTGGATGCAAGTGGCGACTTGTCGTTTGACGTGGAGGACCAAAGACGAGGCTTTTGTTCGGCTGTGGACGTCTTTCGGCTGTTGATGATGATGATGATTAATGTTTTCTTTGTTTAATCTAAATTTCGATGAAAGAGAATTCATACAAGAAAAGTTGATGCCCATCTTTAAATATATAATTCTGCTGTACGTGTGTATGTCATTGAACTCCTCCTAAACGACTTGACCGATTTAAATGAATTTTTCTGTACGCTTTTGAGTAGCGCTCTGGATGATTTATATTCATAAATCAGCCCGGCAGATGACGCTGCAGTCGATGTCTAAGTTAGTTATCCTAAATGGCTGAACTAATTTGAATGTATTTTTGTTTATACATTCAAGTGGATATGCAGGACAACGTCTGTCGGGTCCGCTAGTTATGTATACATATTTAAAAAATCAGACATGACTCATACATTTCCCATGATCAGTAGCGACTTGGTAGATGAATATGCTGAAGTCCAGCAATATAGTTGAGCAGGTGAAGATCATGGAACTAACTGCTATCAGTTTCCTCGCACTTTCATTGGATGGTTCATCGTGGTACAGACTCAGTTTTAGGTTTATCTGAAAATGATATAATACACACAATAATACAATTAAATCTCGGACTTTAAACTGAAAACATGAAACACTTTCAAATAGTCTTAGTCTTAAATCTTAGTAGAGGAAGAGGGAACAAAGGAAGATCTAAAGAGAGATAGAGAAGAAGGTAGAGCCAAACAAAGATAGAGAAAAAGGGAGAGCTAGAGAGAGATAGAGACAAAGAGAAAGCGACAAAGAGAAAGCTAAAGAAAATACAAAGCTAAAGAGAGGGATAGAGAAAAGGAAGAGCTAAAGAGAGATAGAGAAAAAGCGAAGGCTTAAGAGAGAGATAGAGAAAAAGGAAGAAAGAGAGGGCACGAAAGAAAAAGCGACAGAAAGAAAGCGATCGGACGAGACGGATGCAAGAGAAGGAAGATAATTACAAACCTCTTGCAGCTTCAACAAATACACCATCAGGCATTTCATACGACTGAAACCAGTGAATGCTGCAGTACAGACTACCAAGCCAACGGTACCTACATCAGCTACCCAGACGATGCGGGTCGAGTTTGTACGGGTGCGGTACGACCTCTCCGGCTCAATTAGGATGTCTATAGCTATCGTAGTGGTTGATAATAGCCCTGGTAATGTAAGAAAAGAAAGAAGGTACATTGAGTTGAATTTGTGAATTACTTTTCATATTGGTAGCGCATTAACACAATTTTGCTGAAAGTGTAATGTAAATTAATATTTCTTGGTTTGCAAAGTTTTCAATCTCCTGGCAATTAAGACGATTACATACTTAGATCTAAGTAATATGTAATATAATGTACCCACATAGCATAAACGACAAAGACTTTCCATAAAAGTTAGCGAGTCGAGAGACGCGAATGCACCAGCCACCGTGCATGCGTCGGAAACGGATCGGTGCGACGCCAGCCAGTTGTGACATACGCAGCATGAGACATAGCGTTCCAGTCACCACACACTCCTTCTGCCTCCCAGACTTCATGGAGCCCTGGTACCTACAAGAGTTAAATCGTATATTTTAATTTATTGATTAGCTACTTCCACGCGGTTTCACCTACTCTGCCGGGTGCCTACAATAGATAGTAGCTTTTCTAGCCTATGGTCTCCTCGCTAAGTGGGCTATCAAAACAAAAATATTTTTTCAAATCTGACCAGTAAGTAGTTTCTGAGATTACCGCGTTTAAACAAACAAAAAAACTCTTCAGTTTTATATTTATTTATGTTAGGCTTCTTAAATGGCCCTTAAAAAGTAAATTATACAATTTTTTTTATAAGATATAAAATCATGTACTTATTAGGGTCACATAAAATTTATGCTAGCTAAGGAGGAGGCGGGCCGCGTGAGGAAACGAACCTCCTCACGCCTCAGCCGTCGCGAGAGACACTCCGGGCGTCGGGGATCGCGAAACGATCTACGGACGAATATCACCACAGATGAAGCCCAGTAGGACTGATGCCCGATACGGAGCCGCGGAAAACCTAACGAATTGCCGGGGCTCCGGTTCAAAGTTCAGGAGTAGGAACGGGATGGTTTTTAGTCAGTAAGACTCCGACACTCCCTCTCACCCGGGCGGGAAAAGTCATTGGATGATATCCCCCCTCAAAAAAAAGAGTCATATAATTTGATAAACTAACATTTTCACTACGTTCTAAACCGAATAACCATGCTAAATGAATTAATAATTTAATTAGGTTTAATTTCAGTATATCGCTTCGGCTAATTAATTTCTATTTACTTACGTAGGAAATACC